TGATCCGGCAGGAATTAATTTAATTATACGAGTCCAATTGTTTTTCCTTGTAAAGGTGTGGGACTTGGTATAAAATTGGTAATTACTTGTATTGAATCTGTAAGGTAAAAGTAAATAATTAAAAATAAATGAATGTTTTATTAATAAGTTATTGGTGATCGATTTCGCTTTTATTTAGCATATTCGGATCTTAGCATCAATTAAGAAAGGTGCGAAGATGCTAAATAAAAGCGAAATCGATCACGTATAAGAAAACATTCATTCATTATTATAATTACTTACCTTATCCACAAATTAAACAATTTTATTGAATAGAATTTTTTGAATTTTTACATTTTCGATCAGCTCGGTGTTACGCAATAATGCAAAAAAATTAAGTGTACGCTTGTAGTAAAAATTTGTTTTGAAATGGTGGAAATAGTATAAGAGGCGTCACGTTTCAAATTGAACCCCGCCAAGTTAATATTTACAGCCATTAAAGTGGGTCAGCTGTTAAACATCAACCAAAAATATTCAAATGCGAAATTTAATTTGTTGATAACCAAATACCACCTTTTAGGTTAAACCAATTTATTGAATAGAATTTTTTGAATTGTTACATTTTTGGAGATCAGCTCCATTATAATTAAACGTATCTGGACGCAACAATGTACTTTCCGAATGGAGAGTATAATAATTATCCTCATTTAAGATATAAAAAGATGATTATCTTATCGAAATGATGGCTATAAATAGCTTACAGTGTTGCCTCATGTTGGACGCAATGATATACCAACTTTGTAAAACGTATACTTGAAAGCGTATACTAATTTACCGCCCCTAGCTGCAAAGTGCTGAACTAAAAATATACAACTTCGTACGAATTGCAACTATTATTGCGTCCACTAAAAATTCGTTATCTTTTAATATCTCGAAAACGGCAAGAGATGTCTCAAAACTGGTTTGTGCTATAGGAATCTGTTAAACCGGTGCATCCTTCGTTGATAGTATGTATTTGAATGATAAAATGGCGGGAACATGGAAATACAGGCGATGCCTTTATTGCGTCCGATATTCGGACGCAATAGTTCGAAGAACGCAATAATGTGCGTAATTGGTAAATGTATGGACGCAATAATGATAGAATGGTGTATATATTTGAACATGTATTAAATATACCTAGAATATATACGTGCCTTGTAAAAGATAATAGGGATATGCGAATAGGAAATATGTCAAATATTCTGAGAATAACCTTAAAAGAATATTCTCCATTTATTCTGATCTGAATATTCTCAGAACATGATGCACTTGGGATATTCTGAGAATAAAGTTAGAGAATATTCTTAGTTTATTATGAATATTTTGTGGATATTTCGGATATTCTGAACATAAATTTGAAGGAACGTTGAAAAAACGGAATCCGTTTCTTCTCAATATTCTTAGAACATGCTCTACAGCTAGAGGCTACGCTCTTATAAGAACGAAACATCACATATCCCATATATTTATCCTGAAGGCTATATACACCACACAATATTGTACTAAATAGAAATTTTTGCAGCGATAACATCTACATAAAGTTGGCCGAAGTTTAGCAGATGAGATCTGTAAACTGCATATAAGTCACGTTTTCCCATTACAAGTGCATAAATAATAAAAATAATTTTTAATTCAAAACAAGTGTCTAACGAACTAGTTACCTAAGAGAGACATTTTGTTTATTGAAATTAAGGTGTGAAATCGACACGTGATTGTGACAAAACCAATGTTCCTCGTACATCCAGAGAATTTTTTAACAGAATATTCAATACCGAAAAATCAAGGAATATATGAATAGTGTCTTGTCACTAGTTGTCAGTATATTTATTGCTGAATATCCTTGGAATATGCCATACGAAGGTATATATTCACAGAACATTCTATGGAAATTTGGAATATTGACATACTTACCTACTAGCATATTAAAGAATATTCAAAGAATATCCTATGTTATTTGGGTCAATCGTGGTGATTTTATACATCATGTTCAAAAAGTAAGACACATGAGATGACTTCATAGTTCAAAAGTAAAAACAAAATATTATATTCGTTACATTTGACCCACCACTTTAAAAAAAGGCTCGCAAAATGTTGGCCAGTAGGTATTGATCCAGAAAATAATCGACATAATTTATCGTCAAAGTAAGACTTGGTTGGATTTCGTTTATTGATGCGGCCTTCCTGATGCAGTTTATCAAATGACTCTAGGAACTTTTTTGGTGGACATTTCCTTGGTGCTAATTTTTCACCAGCAGTTTTCAGATCATACTTTTTAAACGATATCCTTTTTTTTTCTGGACATTTGTCAGTCCGCAATTTTTCTTCCCTATAAGACTATACTTATGAGGTATATCCAGAAACAAAGTTCATTTTTACTGGCAAAATAAAACAAATGTATATTAGGAAAAATAATTTATTGCAAAATAATGTGAAGGCTTAAAACTATTTTGCAAAGTAGCTAACACCATTTTTGTAGGCATTTACCGTAACGCAACACTAATTTTTGTGTTCCTCCGTCATAAAACGTTGACGCCAGTAACTTGTAACATGTATATCATTGTCGTTATTGAACTTCTTACCAGTGAGGTTTGCTTTAAGGCTTACAGAAAACCTAAATATTCAGAACTCCATAGTCAAATGACTTGCATTGCAATTACTGTAACATAAAATTTTACATTACACGGTCACACGGGGTCTCTTTTAAGTTGCCATCAAAATAAACATTTTTATTGAAGGATTACTGCATATTTGAGATATTTCCGTTTCATTTTGTGAAATTCAAATAATTTTTGTGAAAAAAAATAATTGTATTTCAGGCAGAAACAGACATTTGAATTTTGGAAAGTAACACAATTTAAAAACGAAATATTATTCCAGAAAAATGTTTTGTTTCCATTTATGACACACTGGGTCACTGACTGCCGCATGATTCATAAACTCTAAAGTACTGTAAGTAATGCTTAAAATAAAAAAGTAAAAAATAAAAATAAAAGCCAATATTTTCTATATAATGACATAATAATAAAACTTTTTTACGTGTACCCTTCTGCAGGTTGACTAAATCCCAAAATGGTCCCCATATTACTATTTACAAACTGTTTAACTGTTTACCTGACAAAATCAAGCAAAGTGATTTTACATCATACAAAGACAAACTAAGAAAGTTCTTAATTGCAAATGCTTTTTACTCTGTTCAGGAATTTATTAATTACAGTAAGGATAACCTGTCATAATTATTAGTTATACATTTCATATACAGATTCGATTTATGACGATTGTAAGTAGATGTACAATGCATGAAATATATTATTATTATTATTATTATTATCATAATGAACGATTCAAGTAACAACATCAATATATTGTCGAAATATGCCTGTATGATATTAAATTTCAATTAGTAATATGTTCTGAACTATAAATGATTTTCTCTTAATTCTCCACCGAAATACGCTTGACCTTTTTTGAAATTAGTTTAAATTGCTCGAAATATGTATAAACTCAAATTGACTAAATTGAAATTCAATGCACATCTTCTGAAATTGTGTGTATAATTTGAATTAAATGTGATACTACTGATTTAAAGTTGTGAAAAGTGTAGTTGCAGAAGTATCCATTTCAGAGTGAAAACAATATGTAATTTGCAAATTGGTTCGAAAAACATAATCAAATCGTTACCAGAAAGTATTAAACGACAATTTAATTTGTATAGGTATTATAACATGCGTACTTCCTAACAAAATTAATTGACTAACACTTCGAGCGCTCACCTAGAGAAAAATGATAAACGAAGTTGACATATTTAGAATGAAAAAGGTAAGCATAGAACAGAACATCAACAAACAGATTGTGTGACACTTATCTTACACAAATCACTCATAGATTCTACTTTGAAAACGTTTCCATTGTCTTTTATAAAAATCATTCCGCCTCGCGACCACACGTTGCCCCTTTTGAAACGAGCAAGCGCTTCCTTCAAAATGGCTAAACGCACACTTGTAAGGTCTTCGGATACAAAAATTTGGGAACCCTTCAGCAACTTTGCATTGTGGAGAACCTTTTGCTTGTCACCGTAGCTGGCAAATTTTACTATTATAGGACGCGGCTTATCCTTGTCCGTCCGGCCAGTTCTATGCGAACGTCGTATTGCGTTTAGCTCCAAATTTACCTTCATAGTTTTGGTGAGGGTATCCAACACTGTGAGGTCAGTATTTTCCCTTTCAACTTCTGGTATACCAAACATGAGTATGCAGTGACGACGCGAGTATTGCTGCTGCCTGTCTAACTTTCGATTTAACGCATCAATTTCACGCTCCCTCAGCTTAAGTTCTTCTTTAAGTGCGTTAAGCTCGGCCTTCCATTTTTCGGTTTCCACTTTGATTGCCGCATGGACTGACTCATTTATCGTCTTCTGCAAAGTCTCCAAGTAGCTTTCGTTTTCCGCTTGCCTACTTACTGTTAGACATTTTATCTCCGGATCTTCTTTTAACATATTGCTAATCATCACTTTCTTTACTTCAAGCCCATTATTAAATTAACACAAAATGTGAACCGTTAACGAGTCAACCACTATGTCAATTATTATTATTGTATTGGTGGTTGATTGTGATATTTAACGTGTTCTGCTAATAAGAACTTCAAAATGAGTTTTAGGACATAAAATATTAATTGGAAATTAAAATTCGAATGCAATTGTCTTATTAAGTACGCCTACGTCTACTCCTAGAAGCTTTTGCTACCTACAGATTTTTTAAATGCAGCAAAAAATTTACGTAGTCTTGGCCTCATATAGGTTTCCAATTTATTATGTATTAGGAAATTTGCTGTATTGGGGATACTTATCGCATTGAATGACAAATTGCTTATTTACCACATTTATTAATAATTAACATCGAATAAAGCAACGCATTGTCTTTGACAAGGTGTGTAATTGGAGAAAACAAAATATGTGGTACGGAGTCCAAATCACGTTTTATGCACGTATTTTTTAAGTTACATTGTGGTGTCGTTTTGCCGTTTTACGAAACTCATCTCATTTCTGGTTCTGGTTCGGGGATATCCGGTAAGAGTATTTCACACTTTAATATTACGCAGTGTGGGAAAAACTTGGTATCATCATTGACTCGGTATTAGTCAATGGTATCATTGCGCACATAAAGGAACATAGGGATTGGCGCACAAATTAGCACAAAACCAGCTCAACATTTTGACATTTAGCAATTTCGAGTCCGAGTTAATATGCAAGACGTGCAGTCAATCACAAAATCGAACGACCTACAAGAATTTCATTCACTTATAACTGTCAAATAAAGAATACTTGTTTAACCATCAATTGATGGGGGAAATGCACAAAAAAAGCATCAAATTACCAATCAAGTTGTTCAAAATTTTTAGTGTGCTTCAAGTTCCTCTGAATTTCTCCTCATGTGTCCTTTAATTTTCCCTTAAGGTACAGGAAAAGAAAATAACGGTGCTGTATAAAAAAAATCACCACGTTAGGAAACCACGCTCGGGGATAGCCCCCAGATGTCGCCGACCCCGCATCATGTAACCCGAAGTTATTAATTACACGGCTCGATAGACACAAGTACACTCCTCGTCTATCTACAAGCGTTCTTCTACGGGCTCTCATTTTCTGCCAGCCAGCCGAACAAGGTAAGATGAAAAGCTACCTTTTTACAAATAAGTTTGCAAAAATGTGCTAAAAGTTTCCGGGAAAATCACAGAATGGAGCTGTAGATTGGAACTTCTCGTCGAGATTAAATTCTCATGCGAATAAATTGTTATCTCTTTCCGAGCAATGATATTCTTCTTCACGAAACCCAAATCTTCCATATTATTTGTTCATGAATGTTTTTTTGGATACAGATCTTTAAAAGCAATTTTAATATCACGAATGCTAAATACTCAGTTCAGTCCTCCTTTTTAGTTTCATTAGCTGTGAAATGACTACACTGACTTTTTAAATAACAGCTCTTTGTGGCAAAGAAAATATACCGGCGCGCTTAATTAGTATGTCCTTGGTCGGAATACAATATTTTATTGCTAGTCAATCGTGAGTATTTTACGATAGTTGTAGTGTAGTATGTAGTGTCGACACATTCAATTTGCTTCTCGGTATGCATTTATCCAACGAGTAACGTTCGCGGATACTCACTAGAATTTTTCCGTGTAAACTGTCATAAATACTCTTTCCAACGCGGGGCCCAAATATCTGTTAGCTTTTCTCTGCGAGGTTAACAATCCCGTTATCCAAAGCCGCACGTTTTGTTTTAACTTTTTATATGGGACTGTAAAGTAAATGCCCTCGTTACCAAAAGACTTTTAAAACTTTTCTGGATCAATTTTCCGCTGAACAAATGTCGTGAGCTCTGTAGTTACTCGAAATTTAACAAACTAGATACTTGCGGTGGATCCTCCAGTGGTCCAGGCCCAAAGGTCTTAAAATTTATTAAATAATTATCACCTTTTCCAATATAATGTTCAATAAGTCATCATTTTGCTTTAAAAGCTAATCATGATCACTGTACTCCTAGAATGCAAGAAAAACTAGGCTGTCCTTATAGGACCCACAAACGGAAATCGTGCTGAATTTGTATTTCTGTAATGCGAACTGGTGATCTCAGAGCTGCATAATTTTTTGTCTGCTATTTTTGCAACAAAAGCCTTAATATCTGAGACTTTCCTAAAGCTATTAAGATGACAGCGCGCTATAGAAATGAAATTACGAAGAAAAATCGATGATCATTTCCACCAATTCCTTACGGATTTTTTCAATTCCCCCAGTCATAAAATTTATTGGAAAATTTAACCCTCCAATTTTGACACTCTGTAGACTTTCTATGATGTGTAATGCTACTGTTACATGATATATGAAGGCATTTGCTTTGACCCTCTTAAATTGAATAAAGTGTAGTGATAACGTGAAGGGGGAATGTTATTGCGCGCAAATCTTTGTTATTGTTAGATAGTGACATCTAGCAATCGCCAATGTAGTTAATTTTAAGGCAGCATTCACAGACTCTATAAATAAAATAACCTCCGCATTGTTACCTTACAAGGTATTTTTTAGAAAATTCATCGTTACCTTCGAATTGTAAAAGCGATAATTCGCTGGTCTTCTATTAAAGACCCTTCATGATGAAAACTCTTCCAAAACACTAATGCTTAACCTACAGGTTCGATTTGTCTTGACATCGAGTGCGTTTTTCAGAAAATAGAACTTAAAAATAACCAAATAAGTCGTAGATATCAAAACGTCGTAGATGTTGGCAAACAAAAAAGTCTCCTTGCGCTAAGGTTAACTTGAACAAACAAATTTTTATTTCCTCGAATCCTAATTGGGGTGTGATCCAATTTTCCAAAGTTGGAGGACTACAGGGTACTTTTTACATGTATTATAAATAAAGTAATGTGTTTTTTTATTTTATATTCAATACGCATCGTGTCCTTTAAGGGTTTTAATTAATAAACATTTGAGTTATTTTGCCATAAATTAGGGATATTCTTGAACGCTTAAATCTAATGGTTTTCTATCTGTTTGATATAGTAAAAGCCAGATTTTTTTATTGTAAATAAAATTCGTGTAGTGGCTCGATTAGTTAGGTTTTCCATTATTAAGTTCAATATTGGTGTAAAGACGAACCCGATATTCCGTTTCCGGGTTTCAACCTCTTATTGTAACAAGAGTTAGTGTTCAAATGTTATTACACGATATAGATTTATTTAATACCAAGCTCATTCAAATCCGTCGAAGTGTTATTTGCTATTAACTTCAAGTGACTTTTGCTTTAAACCTTTAACTGGATTATAACGGAAGAATGAAACTTATGTATTACATTAAAACATAACGATTGGGTTCCAATACATATGTCACTTTTTTTATTATTATAAAACGAAGGTTAAAAATGATAGATGGCAAGCCTCTGGGAAATAAAGGTCCTCAGCCCCGATGTAGACCTCGAACAATAGATACCAAAGACTCCGACATTGTATTTGTTCAATCGTATCGAAAAAACGTGGTTTTTGTGCAATTCGTTATATTTTAAACTCGATAAACAGCAAAAATGCCTAACTTAGTATTCGTATGGTAATTACAAACTATTACACTAAAAAGAAACAGTAACAGTTGCTGTAGAGAGATAATTGCTTCTACGTTAAATGTTTAGTTTTGCTGTTAACTTTAAAATTCCATGCATAGTAAATTAGAGCAATCTTTTTACTTGTTCCTGTATACTTTTTTCTTTGAGGATCCTCGGAATTTTCCCTCACCGAATAATAAAATCCAGGGGATTTTATCCTACATCAAACCACGTAGGTATTGCATACACACTTTGCATAGATTTTAAATTAAAGGAAAGGCACTCGCTAATAGGATTACTCAAAACAAACTTGCCGGAACTCTGTGATGCAAACGACCTGAACTGCATATTTGTAAATGCAACGAACTAATCGATTCTTTCATCTAAACCTAATTGTAATTACTAATTACTACTTTTCATTCTTGTAACATTCTATTTACGACGACGCCGCCGAGTGCGGAATTAACTCGCCTGTTCATGGGGTTGATTTAATTACTTCCTCGTGTGATTCCTTTTTTACCCCTTGCGTAGATCTGAGATCTAATCGTGTTGTTTACTCTGATTCTCTACGAGTGGTGGCTTTTACGGTACATTTGATCTGGAAATGAACATCAGCAGATAAGCATATAATTTCCGTTTCTGTAAGGGTTGTAATGTTTCACGTTCGCGATTTTTGTCTTCCTAAATAGAAGGAGAGGAGATTTGCGTTATCTAATTTTAGTGAAGGTTAGAGTTGATTATTTGTAATCGCGCTGCCGAATTTGCAATATCCAAGTTTCGGATGTACAATAAATTTGTGCTATTTTTTGCCGTATGGGACCCTTTAAACTCATTTTATGCACTTTATACCTTAATTTGAACAATTTATAACGAATTATTAATTTTTATACTTCTAGGAAAACATTTCAGCCCTTGAAGAGTGACTCATAAATTTATGGACACGAGAAGCGCTAATAAAAAAAGAAAATAATAATAAAATAGGTACTTAAAATGATGAAAGCTTGTGAAAGACGTCCCTACATGGACTGTTACCTTTTTAGTTATAAAGCATGGACAATTATTGCCCATTAAAATAAACTTGAACTGGGAACATTGCGACCACACTTAACTTATAAACAAGTCATTGAATAATCTCAAAAGACTCTTCATAATCAAACGTAGTAGTCATTCACACTGTAAACGTTAAACGCAAGGGCGTAGCTACGTTGGGGCAGGGTGGGGCATTTGCCCCATCCTAGCTTGGCCCTCACCCATCCGACAAAACGCATGTTTGTGTGAACTTGCTGGCTGTGTCTAGCTAGTGACTTTAGTATTATTAAAGTCACTAAATATAGAAAGTACCGCAATCCATTGGGCTCGTGTGTTAGAGAGAGAACGCATGATTTTTGCCCAAAAATGGCGGAAGTTACCAGATTCTAGTAACTTTAATGTTAGGGATTGTTCCACCTGTTTGGAGATATCTGTATATATTTTTATAAAAAATGACAGCTATTCAGATTTTATTTGTCAATTTTTTTAAGTTGGCAGCAAATTTGCCCAAAAATGGCGGATGATTGCGGTACTTTCTATATTTAGTGACTTTAAGTAATAAATAGCGTCATCTATTGACCCGTAACCTTACTACAATGATATGGTGACAAGTACCATTGTATCAGGGTAAAGATATCTGGAAAACTAGGCAGTTCTCGCAGGTACACATAGGTGGTTTGAAATGCAAAAAATAAATCATTTATACACTTATATACTTAATTACATTTTTTTCTTACTTTTGCCCCACCCTGAAGCTGCGACTGGCTACGCCCTTGGTTAAACGAATTAAGTTTCGCACTCGACCATAAAAATTAAGCTTAAAAGCTACAGCAGAAGTGCAGCTTTAATTAATTCTTCATACTTGGTAACTGATTTCATTAACAGAAGCTAATAAAATATTGCCTCGGGTTGTTGAACAGTTTGCCCAACATGAAAGTAGGTAATTAGGAAGTTTTAATACCTACATAATTTGGTGACAAATTCATGTCGTATAAATGAGGAATTAAAGTCTTCATTTGAAAGTCAATGTATATTTAATGCGTAGTCTATTTATATTTTCGACGTAATATTGCGTGCCGTGAACACTTTTGAAACAAACTCGATCGATCGGTATTAAATATTGCAATAGTTTCGTGAAACTGACGCAAAAGAAAATTTACGGGAACATATCGAGTTTTTGTTGCTTTTGCCCCATATATTGTGTAGGTACATAGATAATGTATAACAATTCATCACTTCGTGAAGTTTAAACCCGAAGCTACGTAGCGGGATTTAACTTGAGAAGTTCTACATTTTAGAGGTGTCTGCAACAGAACTTTATCCGACTTTTGCTAGGATCAACTTAAGGAACGGAAAGCTGTAACTTTAAAGTTTTAGTGGAGATTATTCGAAAAAAGGAGAATCATATTTGTTTTCAGTTCACGTTATTGAAAAACCTTCAAACATGTTTATACTGAATTGTTTAAATTGTCATGAAAACAAAACTCTAAACATCCGGTAAAAATGGGATGCAACGCGATTATTCAACCATGCAATTTACCGAGT